CCATCAGTCAGTCACTCTGCCCCCCGCCCCCCCACCAAAAAAACATATAACAGATGAAAAATCCAATTTCATTAAAATGGTAAATGGAGTGTACTATGTAGTGCATCTACATGAATATATGTATATATATATATATATATATATATATATAGACACACACACACACACACACACATATATATATTTTTTTAAATTGATTGATAGTCGGGTCTGTTCTAAAAATAGCTCACCAGTGACAGGACATTGTGACTTTCTAGGAATGTTGTCGAAGTCATTTGAAATGTAAACACAGAGATTTACAAAAATTACATTTTGTACATGATATTTATGCTTCCTATTATTGTGGTAAGTCATTAACATGATCAATGTCTTTACATTAATTATTAATAATAATACAACACACAATATAATCATAATAATAAAAACATTCTTCAAGGTAATTTGGTAAGTAGGTAGTTTATATCAAACTGGAAGCCCTGAGCATTAATCAGTACCCAATAAGTAGCTATTAGTTTCAAAAAGGTTGGCGACCCCTGGTCTCGAGTGTATCTCACCCCGCTCCAAGCAATTTGTATAGGCATACAGCTTTAGAGTGATCCTTTACCACAACAGATGCCACCATTTTATGAATCTTATCATGCATTCCACTAAGCTTGCGGTGAACGGCAAAATTAAGAGTGTTTTTTTCCCCACAAAATGTGTATGTGCACTTTTCGCCACAATCAGTTTGGCACGCTGGTTTTCTGACACATCACAACTTATATTTTATGTGACAAGCAAACATGTGCAACAACCTTTGCTGCTGGTCCATGATTGCAGTGATGAGATGAGAGCAAAGAGTCTTCATGCTTCCACCGCAGCCGCCCTGATTTTCTGGACGGGTCAGGTAGAGGTGCAGACAGGCCCACTGATGATATTCCTGCCTAATACACAGATGCAGAAATGCCATAATCCAGTACTTTGGTTGCATGCAACGTGTATCATCCATTTGCATTACCGTTCAGAGTCAGAAAATGTGTCTTGACTTCTGTCAACTTGGAGTTCATTTGCCAGCCATTCTGAGAAGAATAACTACACAAGGGAAGTGGATGGCTTTGTATTATAAATCCACATTAAGGAGAACAGATTAAAAGTATTAAGACATATCCAGATGAACCAAATGTTGATAGATTTGTGAAAAAAAAGCAGAACACAATTTAGCATGCATGCACTTGACCTGATATTGTGGCTCGTGTTGCAGCCTACTGAAAGCAGGATGTCTCCATAGATACAAAGCTGTCTTTTTCCAGCTAGTGGTGGTGTCTTTTTCATTACACAACAGCCCAATGCTGTTCACCTTCGGATCTCCTTTACCATAAGAAAAAGGTCTTCTGGCTTCGGGCAACAGCCTTGGGATGAGGTACTGAAGCTAAAATGGGTATAAATGTAAAGTTGGTGTCAAGACAATGCTGTTGGGACAGAAAGAAAGCAGTAAGTTTTGAGCCAAAACAATTTGAAGTAGAACATATTGAATCAAATTGGACACTTGGATGTATGCACATATGTGTATATACACATACCAATACAATGTATAGGTATATGTATAGGTGTGTGTGTATCTATATTTAAATCTCTCTCTCTCTCTCATATATATATATATATATATATATATATGTGCTGTCAGTTTAGCGCGTTATTATCAGCATTAATTTAAACCAATTTTAACGTGATTACATTTTTTATCGCGAGATTAACATGTCACAGCGGATGTTAAGTTGCTCTATAAATGAACCGGAAACAAAACAACAAGTGCACTGCACAGGTCCACGCCCATGTCTGTTTTGCCAGCCGTGGCAGAGCGCGG